TGCAAAAATTCTCAACAAAATAGTAGCCAACTGGATCCAACAATACATTAAAAGAATTATTCACCAAGATCAAGTGGGATTTATTCCTGTGATGCAGGGCTGATTCAATATCTACAAATCAATCAGTGATACATCACAATAATAAAGGAAAGGATAAGAAACAACATGATACTCTCAATAGAAATAGAAAAAGCATTTGACAAAATAAGCATCGTTTCTTGATAAAAACCCTCAAGAAAGTAGGGATAGAATGATAATATCTCAATGTTGCGGACGAAATGACACAAAGGACAAGACACACACAAAAGACAGACACAGACACAACTCCGGCCGGAGGAACAATTCTACGCAAGCCCCTCTTGCAGTTTATTTTATACCCCGGTAACTGGATACAAACTGAAATTTACAAAATGCATTCTTTTACAAAACAAGGGCAAGTAGCAAAACTCATTCCAAGGACAGGGGGTAGCAAAGGGACGAAGCGACCACAACATGTTTACTAAGAGGCCTGCCCACAATTCCAGCCTACTCCTTACTTCTAAGGAGGGCATGTTCCCTCATTTGCGAGAGGACCATAAAACTTGGATATTGTGTGCAGGCCTCCTGGCAGAGCACCCTGTTTGCAGGCATGCTTTGCCCAGGCAGGGAGCCCCGTGTGCAGGCACATCCCCGCGTCCCTAACCACGCTTTCTTGTGGTCACTGTCGGGCTCCCACATCTCAAGATCATAAAGGTCATATACGAAATACCCACACCTAAAATCATCCTCAATGGGGGAAAAACTGAAATCATTCCCCCTAAGATCAGGAACATAACAAGGATGTCCAATCTCACCACTGTTATTCAACATAGTCCTGGAAATTCTAGTCTCAACAATGAGACAAAACAAAGAAATAAAATGTATCCAAATAGGAAAAAAGGAAGTCAAACGTTCACTCTTCATAGATGATATGAAACTCTATGTGGAAAAAACTGCTAGAACTGATCCATGAATTAATTCAGCAAAATTCCAAAGATATAAAATCAATGTACAGAAATAGATTGCATTTCTATATACCAATAATGAAGCAAGAGAAAGAGAAATCAAAGAATTTTTCACAAAGATGTGAAAAATCTAAACATTGAAAACCATAGAAAGTTTATGAACGAAACTGAAGAAGACAAAGTAATGGAAAACATTCCATGCTCATGGATTGGAGAACAAATATTGTTAAAATGTTGATACTACCCAAAGCAATCTACATATTCAACGCAATGCCTATCAAAGTAACATCAGCATTCTTCACAGAGCTAGAACAAATAATCCTAACATTGATATGGAAATGGAAAAGACCCCAAATAGCCAAAGCAATCTTGAAAAAGAAAACCAAAGCTGGAGACATCACAATTCTGGACTTCAAGCTGTATTACAAAGCTGCAATCAAGACAGTATGGTATGCACAAAAGAGACACAGAGATCAATGGAGCAGAATAGAGCACCCAGAAATAGACTCACAAACATGACTAACTAATCTTTGACAAAGGAGGAAAGAATATCCAATGGAAAAAAAGATGGTCTCTTCAGCAAATGGTGTTAGGAAAACTGGACAGCAACATGCAGAAGAGTGAACATGAACCACTTTCTTACACTGTATACAAAAATAAACTCAAAACCAATGAAATACCTAAACACAAGACAAGAAGAAAAACAAGAGAAAACAGGCAACAACCTCTTTGACCTCAGCTGCAGCAACTTCTTACTTCACATGTCTCCAGAGGCAAGGGAAACAAAAGCAAAAAGAAACTATTGGGACCTCATCAAGATAAGAAGCTTCTGCACAGAGAAGGAAACAATCACCAAAACTAAAAGGCAACCAACAGAATGGAAGAAGATATTTACAAGTGACATATCAGACAAAGGGTTAATATCGAAAATCTATAAAGAACTTGTAGATAAAAAACAAATAATCCAGTGAAGAAATAGGCAAAAGACATGAATAGACACTTCTACAAAGAAGATATCCAAATGGCTAACAGACCCATGAAAAAATGTGCAACATGACTCATCGTCAGGGAAATACAAATCAAAACCACAATGAGATACCACCTCACACCTGTCAGAATGGCTAAAATTAACACTCAGGCAACAATAGATGTTGGAGAGGATGAGAAGAAAGAGGAACCTTTTACACTGTTGGTGGGAATGCAAACTGGTGCAGCCACTCTGGGAAAACAGTTTGGAGTTTCCTGAAAAAATTAAAAATAGAACTACCCTGTGCGCCAGCAACTGCACCAGTAAATATTTATCCAAAGAACACAGGAGTGCTGATTCGAAGGGGCACGTGCACCCCAATGTTTATAGCAGCACTATCGAAAATAGCCAAAGTATAGAAAGAGCACAAATGTCCATCAACTGATAAATATAATGGAATATCACTCAGCCATCAAAAAGAATGAAATCTTGCCATTTGCTACAACGTGGATGGAACTAGAGTATGTTATGCTAAGCTAAATAAATCAGAGAAATAAATAACATATGATTTCACTCATGTGGAATTTAAGAAACAAAACAGATGAACATAGGAGAAGGGAAGCAAAAATAAGATAAAAACAGAGAGGGAAACAAACCTTAAGATTCTCTTAAATACAGAGAACAAAGTGAGGGTTGCTGGCAGGGAGTTGGGTGGGGGAATGGGTGAAATGGGCAAGGGGCATTATGGAGGACACTTGTTAGGATAAGTACCGGGTATTATATATAAGTGATGAATCACTAAATTCTATTTCTAAAATCATTATTACACTATATGTTAACTAACTTGGATTTAAATTAAAAATAAATAAATAAATGAGTGCTGTATTTTATGCTCGGTAGCTTGTCTTTATAATTTTAATGGTGTCTTTCACAGAGCAAAAAAAATGTTATAAAGTCCAATTTTCATTTTTTCTTCTATGATTGTGCATTTTATGTCAAGTCTAAAGATTTCCTCTTATGCTTTAAAAAAATTTTTTAATGTCTATTTTTGAGAGAGAGAGAGATAGAGTGCAAGAAAGGGAAGGGCCAGAGAGAAAAGGAGACCCAGAATCTGAAGCAGACTCCAGGCTCTGAGCTGTCAGCACAGAGCCTGATGCTGAGCTCGAACCCACAGACTTCGAGATCATGACCTGAGCCGAAGTTGGACACTTCACCAACTGAGCTACCCAGGCGCCCCTCTCCTACGCTTTTATTTTCTGAAAGTTTAATGGGTTTTATATATCAAAAAAAGTTAATCTCCAGGAAAGAGGGCTGAAGGAGAAGCAGTGTTAATCAAGATATGGGCCCAATAAAGCACAAAGATGAAGGGAATTCCAAAAATTAGTTAAAAATGTGGAACAGTGTGCCGATCTCTAAGCAGGAGTTTTTTAGCACACAGTGGCAGTGTGTAGGAGTGTCAGAAGAAAGCAAACTGGTCAGGGTGCAGTATGTATGAAACAGAAGAGAGATAAGCCAGGTCAACAGTGATGAGAGGAAAAATGGAATTAGCCTTATTTCTGAGATGAGTGTGGGCAAGAGGATGCATTACTGTCATATCTAAAATGCCCTTAGGTGTGATGGCCCTCATGGCCATGAGTATTGTTCTCCAGGGATTGGGAATAGGGTGATCATCTTTCTAGATGGACTGGCATTGCAGCCTCTTAAGTTTTTCCACTCTGTAGTGTCTTTCTCTAAGAGAGAACCTTCCAGAGTCTTTACCCATGGTCAAATAGTAATAAGTAGTAGAGCCAATTGCACTCTGGATACAAGATATCTGGATATAGATAACAATATTCCACCTGCTCCCACAAAAGTATGCTAATGCACAGATTCTCTTGGTACTTAATTAAACTTAAAAATTTTTAACAGGGCCTGTTGTGCAGAGCCTTACAAGATTTGGCTCCTCACTCTCTCTACATTTCTGACCTTGTTCAACTAATTCCCTCACTTACTGGATGTGATTTCAGTCACATTGATGGCTGTAGTCCTCTTTCTGGAACACTCGTGTTATATTGGCCTTAAGGCTTTTACTTGCTGTATCCTTGACCTGAAATGCTCTTCTGTCAGATTTTCAAATGGCTGGACTCTTTTTCATCTTTCAGTTTCTACCTCATATCTCATCTCCTCATTAAAGACTTCCAGACATGTTACTCAATTTTGTCTTGTTTTCTCTTATCTTGCCAAGAACCTTGAGGTTGTTCTGTATCCTATTGCCCTATTTTAAGTTTTTATACCATTTATCAATATCAGAAATTATGTGTTCTACTTGTTTAGGCATTTATTATTAATTTCCTCATATATATAATTAATTTCATGACTCAGAAATTTCTCTTTTATACAGAGGACTGGCTCATAGTAGGTGCTTCATAAAATACTGTTGGATAAATGTATAAATACTTGATAAATGGTTTTTTTTTCTATATTCCAAAGTAAGCTACTATTTTTTCCTATAAATAAATATAATAGTTATAATTTTCATGGTTGTTCAGACAAAATGTGGTAATATATAAAAGTCCATACTCTAGTTTTTAGCACATAGTAGGTTATTAGGCAGTGATTTTTTTCATTTGTCTGTCAATATGTCCCACTGAAATAGCACAGCAGATATTGACTAAATGAAATAATTCAAACTGGGATATTGTGATCATGTGAATTATGTCTTAAGTACTACATATTTTATGGCATGTGTCATATTATATACTACCACTTATATAAGACATAAGATATATTATGTGGGACATATAACATATTATATTTTTATTATGTAGTAATGATGAAATTATTATAGTTACATATTCTCCTTGGAAGCACAAATATTCCCAAGGTAATCTCCCTTCTTAGGTTTTCATACTATATTAATGACAATTAGGAGAAAATAAAATTGTCTGTTTTTCTAAATTAATGTAAAATATTCTATCTTTTAAGGAAAGCTTTATTTCTAATAGTTTCATAATTAACTATCACTTCCTACTTTCATATTTTTACCTCTCACCTCCATGTTTACTTTCCAGGAAGAACCCTATGTCCTGTTTAAGAAGTCTGACAAACCTCTCTATGGGAATGATCGATTTGAGGGCTATTGTATTGACCTCCTCAGAGAGTTATCTACAATCCTTGGCTTTACATATGAAATTAGACTTGTGGAGGATGGGAAATATGGGGCCCAAGATGATGCCAATGGACAGTGGAATGGAATGGTCCGTGAACTGATTGATCACGTAAGTCTCTTTTCTCATCATTATCATTACCTTTGGTAGATTGCTAAAAGATTTACTTTAAAAAAATTTTTTTGATGGTCAAGGGTTAATAATGACAAAGAACAATTATATAATTCAAGTATGTATTTCCTTAAATAATTCTCTTCAAAGTATATACTATTTTTGCCCTTAAATATAAACAATCTAAGAGGGATGTATGGTTCAATTAGAGAGAGTTGTCGTTTTAAATTAAGTAGTATTTAGTGATTTATTATCTTGAAATATTTAGTCCTATTTGCAAATTATAGTGTGATTGTGCAACAATTTATTTGTTTTCCAATTTTATAATGCTAACTTCACAATCAATAGAAAGAATGAGTGATACAAACTCTAAATTTTATGATAGAAAAATTTCTGGACTAAGGTAGGATACTTCTTATCTTTAGAGATGAGAGAATTCTACATGCAAAAAGCATAAAATAAAGATACTGTATAAAATATAGTACTTTAAGTATATTGGCTTGGGGATAGACATTTTATTTAGTTAAGTAGTTGAATAAGCCAGACATTCCTTCTTTGGCCAAGAAAGCATTATTTCATAATTTCCTAGTTGGCAGTGCCAATTAATTCATCTCTTTGAAATAAAGTCTTATTTTTTTTAAAACAATAATACTGCATTTTGCTTTGTGTTTTGTAACATTTAAGTTTATTTCGACATTTTCCATAATATTAAGGCATGTAATTATTGCTAAATATTCTACAAAATAACAAAATATATTTTACTTTAAAAAAACCATGAAAATTGTACCCTAAATAAAAGTTCTTACTAATGGAAGTAGCAAATATAGGCAGTTTTCACAACATTTTGAAAATATCTCCTTGGTATTAATTACCAAGTTTATTATCAAGACAAAGATATTATAGGAATAAGGGAGATTTGTATCTATTTCTATCTACCTACCTACCTATCATCTATCTATTTATCTATCTATCTATCTATTTATTATCTATCTATAAGGAGATGTTAGGATTTGGTTAAAAGAAGAACAACAAAACAAATAAACAATCAATTACTTTTCTTTAGGGGAGCCTGGGTGACTCAGTCGGTTAAGCCTCCAACATCGGCTTAGGTCATGATCTCATGGTCCGTGGGTTCGAGCCCCGCGTCAGGCTCTGTGCTGACAGCTAGCTCAGAGCCTGGAGCCTGTCTTCGGATTCTGTGACTCCTTCTCTCTCTGACCCTCCCTATTCACGCTGTCTCTATCTCTCCTTCAAAAATAAATAAAACATTTTAAAAAATTTTAAAAAAATTCTTCTTTAAATCCTTAACATATTTTTTAATTATTTGAATTTTACTCAATAAGATCCTGAGATTCTAGGCTTCATCAGTTATTTCTAAAAAATTCTGCATAAATGGTCCATTTATCGTTTAACTCTTTAAAATCCATTAAAAATGATGAAAATGTATATGATTTGGACTCATACAGGAAACCTTACATTTTATGTTCACTTCTATTACTCTAGCAGTAACTATCAGAAATCTAATCCAAGCTGGTTTAAGCAAAAATCTTAATTTATTTGTTTTCATCTTTGAAAAGTCCAGAGGGAGTGTGACTGGATTTAGAATATCAAGATCTAGTTTCTCTGATATTTTGCCTCAGTGTAGTCTTTGTTTCCCTGTATTTATTTTACTTTTAGGCATGTGCCTCTCAACAGGTGGCAAGAACAATTGCTACCAACAGTTCTGGATCAACCAATCAGGTAGAAGTAAAAATCTTGGACCCTATAATTCAATCAATGGACCCCAAATTTGGTTTCATTGGCCAGACCAAGGTCATAAACTAAATCCTGAACCAATTATCTCATTGAGAAGGAAGTGCTGTTCTCAGGGTGCCTGGGTAGCTCAGCTGGCTATACATCCAACTCTTGGTTTTGACACAGGTTATGATCTCATGGTTTGTGAGTTCAAGTCACACATCGGGCTCCAGGCTGACCATGTGGAGCCTGCTTGGGATTCTCTCTCTCCCTCTCTCTCTGTTCCTCCCCTGATGGCTCTCTCTCTCTCTCAAAAATCGATAAACTTAAAAAGAATTTTAAAAAAGGAATGAGTGCTATTCTCACTGGATAGCTTGGAGGCAATATATTCATGCAAGAAACTAGAAGGTGGGGTGAATACCTTTTAAAACTACATAGATTTAGATTTGAGGAACTGGACTTTTAAAGGAAAACTGGGGTGTTTATATGTAAAGTAGAATGGATTCTGCACATACCAATACAATGTATATCCACCATCAAACCTTTGCATATGTGGCCTATCTATTTTTCTTCAAGAACACTAAAAGTAGAAAATTAAGGTTAGCAAATAATGATTTAGATCCATGGCATAAAAGAGGATGGCACCCCCAAATGAGGGAACAGTAAGGGGGATATTATCAGTTAATATTTGTTTCTCAACAAAATTATTTGTAGTATTGAATTGAGACCACTGATGCAGGCTTTAAGTTACTGAATCATTTTATTCTTCTTGGTGCCATATCTTTACATCACCTTTTATTTTTCCTTATTAGGGTACTACTCTGTCCTAGTATCCCTTTTCTAAGTGCCTTCCTCATGTCTCATATTGCCAACCAAGCCTTGGTTTTTAATATTTAGCACGAGTCATATTAAACTAGAATGATGTTTATAGTCAATATATTTTCCTTTATACAACCTCACCCTGGTTTGCATATTTATGAATATGCTAATTTTGAAACAAAGTAGTAACTCTAAATGATAATCAGATAAATATCCTAAACTTCTTGCTCTCCTTGTTTTCCTTGGATAAGCTTATCTTCTCTCAGCTTGATTACCATTCTCATACTGAAATTTTACCATTCTGCATCTTTAGCCCTGAGCCTTAGATGCATAAATCAACCTACCGTTGTTATATTTTTTGCTTAAATGTTTCATAAGCATCTCAAAGGTAGCATATTCCAGACTGAATTTGTTTGTATTTCTTAAAGCTTTTCTTTCTGAAGAGTTTCCTATATCAGATCATAGACCAATGATTCAATAGGTTTCCTAAGCCAATATTTAGCAGTCATTTTTAAATTATTTCCCACTCCATCATATTTTATTGAGTATGTTCCTTAAATAATTTTCAAACCTGACCACTTAATCTCCACTGTCATCTGGAATAATTTCCCAATATGTGGATCTTTCCCTTCTAATACATTATCTGTATATAATCTGTTATCTATGTATGTATGCATGTATGTATGTATGTATCTATCTATCTATCTATCTATCCATATTATTCAGCTAGGGTATTGTTTCAGAAGCAGAAATCTTATCATGCTTTTTCCTTGCATAAAATCTATCAGTAGTTTCCACTGTCCTGACAATATAGAACCAGCTATTTATTTATAATACTTCTGCTTTTGGTTATTGTTTATCTGTCATGGAAATCCTCTTCTTTTAATTAAAAAATTTTTTTTCTTAATGTTTTTTATTTATTTCTGAAAGAGAGAGACAGTGTGAGCAGGGGAGGGTCAGAGAGAGAGGGAGACACAGAATCTGAAACAGGCTCCAGCTCTGAGCTAGCTGTCAGCAAGCACAGAGCCCGACACAGGGCTCGAACCCATGAACTGTGAGATCATGACCTGAGCCAAAGTCGGCTGCTTAACCGACTGAGCCACCCAGGCACCCCTGGAAATCTTTTTACCCTCCAGATCTACTCTCAGATCTTCTCCACCATGCTTTCTATATTGGGAGGTTGTCTTACATGGAGTAAATCAACAGGGCTCCCAGCAAGAGATCCAAGGGAGAGAGGAGAGTAAGGTCAGAATATTTCTTTCCTTCCTTGCTCCCTGAGATATTGGCTTGAGCTGGCTGTGTCCCTACAAGGAATGTCAGTTTCTCATTATGAGGCCTATTCTATACAAATCTGTCTCCTATTCTCATTTCCAATTTATACCCCACATGCTTTGTTTCTCCAGATCTCGGCTTAGGTGCTATTAGCCTTGGGTTCCTGCACCATCCCTTAAAATTTCCCAATGCCAGTTGTCCTTGAAGTATGTTCCGTGCACCTGCAGAATCAATATCACTTTCAAACTTGTTAGAAATACAAATTTTCAGGCCCTACCCTAGAACTACTAGATCTATACCTCTGTGTATGGAGCCCAGCACTCTTTCATTTAACAAGCCCTAATGGTGATTCTGGTGTTCTCTGAAAGTTAAGAATAAATTTTCTACCCTCCACTCGGACTTGTGTAATTAATTTGTCCCTTTGTAAACAAATCCTACTCAGTTATCATTTGACTGTGCCATCTGTTTGCTATTGAGAACCTAACTGGTACACCTTTCTATATTTCATCTATTTTGTCCTCTCCAGCCAAGCCCATGAGGACTTTTTTCAGCCTTGTTCTCCTTTGCTTATAGGCTAGTTCTCTGACTGCACCACTCTCTTCAACCTCCACCCAAATCACCTCACCTGAATTACTTCTACTTAAATTCAGAAACACTTCCCCAGTAATGCTTCTCCATCCCACCCCAGGAAACTCAGCTGCTATGAGTTTCCATACTACCCTTCTTGCCTAGCATCTGTCACACTTTGATTACCAGCTTAATATCTGTCATACTTATTTGTAGGTACGTTGTCTGGTAGTTATAAAATCAATCAAGACTATTTCAGGTACAAGTGCAGAAACAGGGCTAAAAATAACTTACACAGATATACTTTTAAAAAATGTCCAATATTACTAAAAAAGTACTATGGTGGTTCTCATTTCAAGTATAGTTGGATCCAGGGTCTTAAAGTATGTCATTAATGTCTGACCTCTCTTTTGCTGCCTTGTTATCTCTTGGCTTTATTCTTCTCTGTAGCTTTTATTCTTAAGTACTTTCTATATGGTGACAAAGGTGACCCAAGGTGCCTCTAGGGCACTGGTTATCAACGGGAAGGGTAACCCAAGAGTATTTTCCCAAGAGACTTTTGGCAATGTTGAGAGACATTATTTATTGTCTTCACTTAAGGAGGTGGG